ACTCTTTGGGTTTACTCTTCTTTCAATGTGCTCTTCATAGCAGCACTCACATTTCTAGATCGTGAGTAACTTACTATCGTGCAAAAATTAAATCATCCAGCTTTGGTATTAGAAAAAGGCAAACATGTCAAAGCTTTGCTAATCTTGTTTCCTCCACGAACCAATTGCAGCAATGGGCAGTAACAAACCTATGATTTCGGAAGATGACGAGACTGAGAGTGTTTCTCCACAACAATTGGCATCAAATCCAGAAGGTATGGAGATGCCAGAGAGAAATGGGAGCTCCATAGGTTCTGCCATGAATGGTCAAAACAAAGAGGAATGGTTTTGCCCTTCCAACCTCTTTCGCTAACTTTCGATCACGTCAACTATTATGTGGATATGCCTGCAGTAAGTGTTATAGTCTTTTATATGAATATCTTTTCTATGACATCTAGACGCTTTTCATTTAGGGCAACATAAAATCTTGTGATTGTGACTTATCACGTGAACCATTTATTTCTTATATATTGAAACAACCTAACTTTTGTAGCTTGATGTGTATGATTCATAGTTCTTACTTGCAAATTAAAAAACGTGTTTCTGTTTTCAGGAAATGAAGGGCCAAGGGGTTGAAGAGAGCAGGTTGCATTTGTTGAAAGATGTGAGTGGTGCATTTAGGCCAGGAGTTTTAACGGCGCTAGTTGGAGTGAGTGGCGCTGGCAAGACCACCTTAATGGATGTATTAGCAGGAAGAAAGACAGGTGGATATATTGAGGGAAATGTAAGCATTTCAGGTTATCCCAAGAACCAGGCAACCTTTGCTCGAATTAGTGGCTACTGTGAACAGAATGACATCCATTCTCCATATGTGACTGTCTATGAATCTCTTTTGTACTCAGCTTGGCTACGCCTTTCCTCAGATGTTGACAAGGAAACACGCATGGTACTTTAGTTGTTCATATAAGCACGATTTTAATTTCTGTATACTGCTGGATCACATTTGATAACTATCAAAGCTGACTGTAGTTTTTTGCTTTTGGAATAGATGTTTGTAGAGCAAGTTATGGAGCTGGTTGAATTGAACAACATAAGGAATGCTTTAGTGGGGCTTCCTGGAGTGGATGGTCTTTCTACTGAGCAAAGGAAGAGGTTGACCATTGCAGTGGAATTGGTTGCAAATCCCTCAATCATCTTTATGGATGAACCTACTTCAGGACTCGATGCTAGAGCTGCTGCAATTGTTATGCGAACCGTAAGGAACACAGTCGATACCGGAAGAACTGTTGTTTGCACCATTCACCAACCAAGTATTGACATTTTTGAGGCTTTTGATGAGGTATTAATAATATAGTGGGGCTCTGCTATATAGTGTAGATAAAAAAGAAGACTATCAATATTCATTTTGTCCTGTCTATTTCACCTTGCAGCTCTTTTTGTTGAAAAGAGGAGGACAAGTGACTTATGCTGGACCTCTTGGTCAGCATTCTCACAAGCTTATTGAGTATTTTGAGGTCCGTCATTTCCTACTTTTATTCATCAATAACCAATTCAATTGCTAAAGTTAACTTGCCCATGGGTTAGTTATACGCCTAAGCTTGTTTGAAAATAGAACTTAGGCTAATGAAAATGGCTTCTGTAACAGGCTATTCCAGGTGTTCCAAAGATTAAAGATGGTTACAATCCTGCTACTTGGATGTTGGAGGTTAGCACTGCTGGAGTTGAAACTCAACTTGGTATTGATTTTGCTGAAATTTATGCCAACTCTGAGCTCTATAAGTAAGTGTATATTCAACAAATTACATTTAATCTTTGTGCTTTTGAATGTATCTCAAATATGATTAGCGTACCAATTTTGTCAGGCGAAATCAAGAGCTTATAAAGCAGTTAAGCACACCAGCACCGGGTTCTCAGGATCTATATTTCCCTACCAAATACTCTCAGAATTTCATTACCCAGTGTCAGGCTTGTTTCTGGAAACAACATTGGTCTTACTGGAGGAACTCTGAATTTAATGTCATCCGGTTTGCTATGGCGATTTTCATCGGCCTTGTGTTTGGAGTAATTTTTGGAGCAAAGGCGACCAAGTGTAAGTAAAACGAGTCCTGGGTCAATTTTTGGTGTTCCTTGACTCGAATCCCCTTAACCATTTAGTTTATGATTGATTTGCAGAGGAGAAGAACAAGATCTGAATAATCTACTCGGAGCAATATATGCAGCTATTCTTTTCCTCGGTGCTACCAACTGTTCTTCTGTGCAGCCAGTTGTGTCGATCGAAAGAACCGTGTTCTACCGAGAAAGAGCAGCCGGGATGTATTCAGAACTTCCTTACGCGTTAGCGCAGGTGAGAGATTGATTCAGATAAAATAGCTCAAAATTAATGAAGTAGCTTGATGGTGAATGCAAAATTAAACCTGCGGTGCTTACAGGTGGCTATTGAGATGATCTATACGGTGTTCCAGAGCATAGTGTACAGTCTTATTATTTACGCAATGATCGGATTCAAATGGGAGGCGGGCAAGTTCTTCTATTTCTACTACTTCATATTCATGTGCCTCTCCTACTTCTCCTTGTTCGGCATGATGGTCGTTGCCTTGACTCCTGGCCTCCAAATCGCTGCCATTCTCATGGCCTTCTTGTTTAATTTCTGGAACTTGTTTTCAGGTTTTATGATCCCCAGGCCGGTATGCTCTCATTCTCATCTTCATTCTGCTTGCCAATGCCAATGCCACATCTCATTTCTGTTGCTTTGTGACTGTTAGGGGCTATAATATAGATAAATGAAATTAAGTTATACTTCTAGAGGATTTTCTTTAACAAGAGTTGATGAAGGTTTATATTTCTTCTCTGTGATCCTGTCTTTGCCCATTCGAACCCAGGACTTTGCAGTTAAGTGCAGAACACGCTAACCAGCAAGGCTTGCTGGTTTAACAGTATTGTTGTTAATAGAATTGGATGTTGTGAAATGCAGATGATTCCGATATGGTGGAGATGGTACTATTGGGGTTCTCCAATGGCTTGGACGATCTATGGTGTGTTTGTATCTCAGTTTGGTGATATGGATACCCCAGTTCATATAAGTGGTCAACAGAGTCAGGCATTAAATGCCTACCTTGAAGAAAATCTGGGCTTCAAGCATGACTTTCTCGTACCATTGGTCCTGGGTCATATCGGTTGGGTTGTCATGTTCGTTCTAGTGTTTGCCGGTTCCATCAAGTACCTCAACTTTCTCAAGAGATGAGCATCTTCCTGGATTTTGGTCTCTATTTTTTTTTTTTTGGCTTTTATGTTATGAATCTCTACCATTGTTTTGTGTGGCTCCCCACTGTTGTGCATATTTAAACTCTACAAATCTTTATCAAGTCAATGTAATTTAATCTTAAACCGTTTTTTCTTTTAAGGAATGGGCTCACCGAAAATATATAGATTGATTTTTATTAACTTCCCAATTTTCTCATATTGATTTATTAAAACCTAGTTAAAATCATGTGGAATCTCTCTCTGCTTCTCGCAGCATACAAGAAAGTATAATTAGTGACAGTTAGTAAAAAAAAAAACAAATCAACTCAACTAGTTTAATGAAGACATTGAAGCAATATGATCGCAAAAGTTGACAAATTTCTTGTAGCCAAATGTACTGACAAAAACTTTGCAACAGAAACCCAAAAAAAAAAAAAAAAGAAGGTTCTAACTTGGAACCATCCACACCAAAACAACTTTTCGGCGTCCTTCAATCTAGAAGACGCGAGCAACCTAGCAGGCCAAATCCGATCAAAGTCCAATTAAAATTTGTACAGTTCAGATTCAGAATATAGCATTGTATAGCATTGTGGGAAACCAAAATAAAGAATTATTCAAAAGGAGTGTTTAATAAGTGCTAAAAGTATCACTATTTGATAAATGGTTAAAACAGCAATTGGCAGTCAAAGTTTAGATGCTTGCATATCTTGGATGGACGCGTCTCAATAATAACAGCAACAATTGGCCAAAAAAGAAAAACAACAACAACAGCGAAAAGGATCATGTATCAGCCTGAAAATTTTGTGCCACGAGCTCTCCCATCCCATGCACTGTCCCTACCAGCATCCTTGGGTTTTTTTCTGTGCCTATTCATCACAGGAATTAAACGAAAATTATTCATAAGCTTTCACACACTTGTTCATTAGCGTACAGGGATTGACATGAATAGAACAAAATAAAGGTGGAATAGGAAATAGTTTTGGTGGTAACTCTCGTGTAAGCCAAGGTGTAAGGGCATACAACTTTTGAGCATCATGAATGTCATAAAAGCAAACCAGGCTTAGCTGCTTCCAATCTCTCCTACTCTGTCTTGTTCACTAAGGTTCTCCATAGCTTTGTGGTTGAGCCCTTTCTGTCCACTCCACGACCTAAACTTGTGCCTCAAGCACCTTTCCATCTTCGAGAAACCATATTCTATATAATTTCGCTGTACACTTTCAAACTACTTTATCTACCCTTATGGTATTCTTCCATATACTAAATAGGAAATTGGCATGAAAATGCCGCGACTCGAGGATCTGATTCGCTGGATTCACAGGGTGGGAATTCTGGCCTTTTTATAATGTAATGTAGCTGTAGCTATATGTGCATGACAAAAACAATTCGTGTTCCTGGTGGGAAGCAGTAGTTAGCATAATTTGCCCATATACCAACTTAAGAAAATAGCTACCTAACCAATGCAGACCCGTCAGCATCTTTCACTTAGTTTACATACAAATTGATACAATATATATGAGGGAAGAGTATAAGAAGATCAGTCAGATGATTTAAACATTATTATTATTTACTCTACTTATATATAATAACTTTAAAAATATTCGAAACCAAAAATCTAGTTTGCTTTTAAGCGACGGTGACAATTAAAAAAAAAAATTGGAAGAAAGTATTTTTGCTCAGTGTAGAAAAATTTACCCTTTCAACTACACGAGGATAAAGGAATAGGCATTTCTGTCATTTTGGCTCATTATACGGATCTGTTAGTAACATTAGCTGGTGGTTTCATAGCTTCAAAGCGAGTCTTGTTTATAACCACCCAAGGTAAGGCTGTAGGGAAAGAGAGCCATCATTCCAGAGAACAAGAGAAAAGAAGAGAGAAAACTGGTAAGCAATAGCTGCAATTAATGGCAACGCCAAAGCAGCTATATGAGCAGCAACAATCAAATGTTCAGAGAGTGAAGAACTCGGGAATTATTAGCTCAAACCAGAGCCCAATAAGGGATGACAAGGAAGAGGAGATGGCCAGATCAGCTCTGGCCATGTTCCGAGCGAAGGAAGAAGAAATTGATAGGAAGAAAATGGAGGTAAGGGACAAGGTTCACGCTCATCTGGGTCGCGTCGAGGAGCAAACAAAGCGATTGGCTGAGATTAGAGAAGTAAGTTCATGATACTTGCGAAACCATACTTCCACATACTTTAGTTGCTTTGTTTGTGTGTAAATATATGAAACATCAAATCCACTACATTTAAATTTTCGGGAAGAAAAGGCATGTTCATTTGGTCAGAGGATGTGCAGAAATATACACGAAGCCAGTTGTTCTTGGATAATTAGTTTGTATCCAAAGATTTCACGGAAACGTAGATGACTATGTTATTGAGATACTGCGAATGGTGCGTGTTGTAGGAGCTTGAGGGTATCACTGATCCAATGAGAAAAGAAGTTACAGTAGTTCGAAAGAAGATAGACACAGTGAACAAAGAGTTAAAGCCACTGGGCCAAACCTGCCAGAGAAAGGTGGGGTTTTTTTTCCTGTTTTCTTACCGTTCACTTCTTGTTATTTGCTCCTGTCATTTCTAAAATGTTGTATGCCAAAGGAGCCATAGAAATTGTATTTGCGGGAGAAGAGGAATGGCCATTTAATTTGTTTTAATTACACAGCTTTTGATACAAGCACTTAAGCACAGCTTCATATCTCATGATTCATTGATTGACCTCATTGGCTTTATCTGGCCCCATGTTGTCTCATTGGTCGAGAGACAAGTGGATATGATCATACCAGTAGTTAGGGTGATCATTCATAATAATTGTGTCGGAATTTCCACAAAAAAAAAATTAAAGGATGGCGATAGTCTCAATAGGAAATTTCAAGTTATTCATACAAGCTTCTTCCCCCTAATTATAAACAGAAGAAAATACAACAATAGGCTTGAAGTTTTCTGAAACATTTTTCTCTCCGTGGGGTGGAGGTTTACAGGAGAGAGAGTACAAAGAAGCGCTAGAAGCTTTCAACGAGAAGAACAGGGAGAAAGCTCAACTTGTTTCCAAACTAATGGAGGTTAGCAATATTTATTTATTTTTTGTTGCTCAAAACTTAATAATCTGCTTATCGGCTTTCCGTGTCTTTATTTTAATGCTAGCTGGTGGCTGAGAGTGAGAGGCTGAGGATGAAAAAGCTGGAGGAGCTAAGCAAGAACATAGAAACCCTGCACTGAGATGCTACTAAATGTAGCCTTTTGGATTGAGTGTGTTGAGACTAGAATCACCCCCCCCCTTCAATTGAATGTTGATACAATATCATTATGCGTTTTTTGTTTTGTTTTGTATCAATTTCACTGACTGAATTAGTGAAAGAATATCTGAATTATAAATACTCCAAAAGATCCCGTCGTTGTATTGTGAGATGTGATGCATCAATCATCAAATTCCATTTCAATGTTCCGAAAGCTCTTGTACAACTAAAGCCCTGCATCAAACTTACCTAATTTCATCATGTGTTTACTTTTCATTTCAATTGTTGAAGGTCACCCTAAACGTTTTTCTTTTTTATTTGACATCCATGATTATCTACAATTTTTTAAAAAAGATAGTTGTTAATAAATTAAAGGCTTGTATTAATCGACAAAAAATGATTTTAATGTACAAATTTATCATATTCGCCCGTTGGCACAAATCATTATGTCTAAGTTAGAAACTCTCATTGGCCTATTCCGTGGATTTAGGTAAATAAATACTTCAACTGAATTAAATATAAAGCATTGATCACTATTTTATTGTTATTAAAAAATATTAGTTGAAACTTTAATTTCTTAAAGAAACTTACAACTTTTCAATTGTATCCTCATTAAATATTCTATATAAACACTTTAATAATGATAATTAAAATTTTAATGTATCATTTTAAATAAAAAGAATTAAATAAAGTAAGTGTATAATTAAAAAAATAATTATAAAAATTATTTAATATTTTATATTTTAAATTAAGTAAAATTTTTAAAAGATATTCTATATTATTATTTAGAGAGAATAGTTTTTACTAGTAGTTAAGAATAAAATGCATGGATTTAAATTGAGTGAAATAAAGATGACCATTATTTTATTTTGATTAATTTTTATATTTATACAGAAAATTTAGCTGACGGGTTAGGTTTTTTAATAAAAATAACAGTTGAAATTTTTTTTAAAATTTTTTTTTGTATTTATTAAAATTTAAAATTTAAAATATTTAAAAAAACCTCGATGCCCATCAATTATTCATTGGGAGGACCAGGGTAGGCATGATTGTGGATCACTACTGCGGGTCCTGAACCATTGGCCCTGTATCTGTATCTTTAACGAAGGAATGAATTGGGCATCGGGTAACCAAAAAATAAATAAATCGGGCATGACGTACACTGCGGAGATTCTTATGCAGTCAAAACTATTTCGAGAATAGAGACCGAAGGTACGACGACGATGGACGACTCCAAGGCGCTCGGAACTTTCAACCCTAGTAGCGATGGAGCAAAAGCAAAGAAGCCGAAGGTGGTAGTGATAATGGGTCCCACTGGCTCTGGGAAGTCCAAGCTTGCCATTGATTTGGCTTCCCACTTCCCGGTCGAAGCTATCAACGCTGATTCCATGCAGGTTTACCGAGGCCTGGATGTTCTCGCCAACAAAGTTCCGCTCTCCGACCAAAAGGGTATATGAGTTTGTGCTTCTTCATCATTTCCTGAACTCTCTTGGTTTCTGAAATTGAACTTTCTGTTGTAGGGGTGCCTCACCATCTTCTGGGTACCGTAAGTCCAAACGTTGAATTTACAGCTAAAGACTTTCGAGATTCTGCTATCCCTGTAAGTTATTGTTTCCTCAGTGTTCAGTTTTGCCTTGGAAGTCTTTAAGTTGCAACAATGGGTGCAAAGCTAGAAAACCGGAGGCTTTCTTCTTTTCTAAGAAATGTTTTGAAGTAGCATGGTGAGAAGTACCATTTTTATTTTGATTAGGGCTTGTTGGCAGCTTTTGATTTTAAAGGTTTCTGATTGGTGGGTGCATTTATGATTTTTTTTTTTTTGGTTTTAATTATTGCCTAATTGATCTTTAAACAAAGAATTCCTTTGTGATTCTTAATAGTTGTTTTCTTAATTTTCAGCTCATCAATGACATCTGTGCTCGCAACTGCTTGCCCGTCATAGTTGGGGGCACGAATTATTACATCCAGGTGGGAATTCTGAAAATCGCTGCTAGGAATTGTGCCTACTTTTTATTCTTAATGTTCTTCATTTCGGAGTTTTATGATGTCCCTATATTGCATTCCCTTTTAGACTCACCATATCTAGACAGAGGTGATTATTTCTATATGTTACTTTTGTGGGTAATCTTGTTTGTTATCCTGTTCAGGCTCTCGTGAGTCCGTTCCTTCTAGATGAGTCAGTTGAAGATATGGATGAAACCTTTATGGACAACCTTTCCGGTAAACTGCAATTCAGTACTCTAAAATGTTGGTCTAATTTGTCAATTATTTCAATTATGCTTGTCATCTGTTTTATTTGCAGGTACTGGACCATTGGATAAGTATTTCATCCCTGAAAAGGACAGTTCAGACAATAATTATGAATTGCTTAAAGATGTTGATCCAGTTGCAGCAAATAGAATGCATCCAAATAACCATAGAAAGGTGTCTGATTTAATTGCATCATTCATTATTCTTTAACATAGATAAAAGACCCTCCTATTTAGAGCATAATGTCACGGGGCTAGTCTTTCGACCCGTGCGGCACTTAGACAACCTTCACTGGAAGTTGCTAAGTAAGCCTAACTCATATGAAAGGAGGATGCTTGGCTAAGTAGAGGAAAGGGAAAGCTTGAAGGCAAAGAAGAGTAGAGAGAGTTTGGAGAATGTGAGAGTTCTATTGATTTGAGAACTCAAGGATGATTTACAAATGAGGAGGGGTGAGGTATTTATAGGCCTCCCCTTGGATCTAGAATGTTCCCACCTCCTTAATGGACGGTGGAGATTAAATCTATCATACGGTTACAATTGATTCTCTAAAATTCTCTTAACAAATATCTAGATATTTAAATGGAAGAATCTAGAGACAATATTAAAATATTGAGGCTAGAGTTGTGTAGGCTTCTCTAGAATGTTCTTGCACTCTCTAGCACTCTTAAGGTTAGCTGGGAGCCTTCTGGAGGGTTCTGGAGCATTCTGGACCTTGTGAAAAATGACGAAACGTGACATTCTCCCCACTTGATTTCGCGACGCCCTCGTCGCGCCTTCCTCCTTGTAGCGTTGGATTTGGTCAGTGAATTGCCATAGGAGGTTTTCACGTTCCCAACTAGCTTCAAAGTCTGGTTGTCCCTTCCATTTGATTAAGTACTCATTGTAGTTGGGAACTCCTCTCTTCTTGATCACCCTGTCTGCAAGGATTTCTTCTATCTCCTTGTCGTACTCAGTGATGACCGCTATCGGTGCTCTCTTAGAGATACCTCGAGATGGATCTTCATTTCTATAGTGTTTCTTCAAGAGACTAACATGGACGACAGGATGAATCTTAAGCCTGTGAGGGAGTTGTACTTGGTATGCAACCTTTCCCACACGTTTGATGATAGGGAAAGGGCCTTTATATCTCCTGACCAAGCCTTTGTGGACTTTGCATAGTAACTTGAATTGATTCGGTAATAACTTAACCATGACCAAGTCACCTACTTGAAACTCAATGGGGCGCCGCTTCTTGTCTGCCCACTTCTTCATTTTTCAAGAAGCTTTATCCAGGCATGCACGAGTAATGTCGGCTTCTTCTTGCCATTCCTTGGTAAACTTATAGGCAGCTGAATTGTCTCCCTTGTATGGTATGGCAAGTGCGTTGGGGGTTAGAGGTTGTTGTTCGGTAACTATCTTAAAAGGGCTCTTACCTGTCGACTCACTTCGCTGCAAGTTGTAAGAGAATTGGGCCACATCGAGCAACTTAGCCCAATCTCGTTGATGAGCGCTCACATAGTGCCGAAGGTAGAGCTCTAACAAAGCGTTGATTCGCTCTGTTTGTCCATCGCTCTGAGGATGAAAGCTTGTTGAGAAATTCAAATCTGTCCTTAAGAGCTTAAAAAGTTCTCTCCAGAATTTCCCGGTAAATCGGGGATCTCGATCACTGACGATGTTGCGAGGGATCCCCCATAGCTTCACGACATGCTTGAAAAATAAGCGTGCCGCTTCATCGACCTTGCAATCTGCTGGGGCTGGTATAAAGGTGGCATATTTGCTGAATCCATCAACCACCACCATAATACTCCCACATCCTTCAGACTTAGGGAGAGCAACTATGAAGTCCATGGAGACACTCTCCCATGGTCTCTCAGCCACTGGCAAAGGTTCGAGTAGACCAGCAGGATATTGTTGTTCAACCTTATCTTGCTAGCACACTAAGCAAGTTCTCACATATGCTTCGACATCGTCTTGCATATGTGGCCAATAGAAATGATTTTGTACGAGAGCAAGTGTTCTGGTCATACCTGGATGTCCGGCCCACATGGAATCATGGCACTCATTTAGGACATCCCTTCGAAGGTTGCCCCGTTTCGGCACATAGACTCGGTTCCCAATGGTGTAGAGTATTCCATCATTCACCCAAAATCTTCGAGTCTTGCCTTCGGTAGCAAGCTTTATTAAGTCGCTTGCGGATGAGTCCTGAGACATACCTTCCTTGATTCGTTCAAGGAAGTCATTCTGGGGCATACTTGCTGAGAGAGTAGCTAACTCGGCTTTCCTGCTTAAGGCATCGGCCACCACGTTTGCTTTGCCTGGCTTGTACTCCAACCGATAATCAAACTCAGCAAGAAAATCTTGCCAGTGAGCTTGCTTCGGGCTGAGCTTCTTTTGTGTTTGGAAGTAGCTCGTAGCAACATTGTCTGTCATAATAGTGAACTTGCTCCCAAGTAAGTAATGACGCCAGGTTCGTAGACAATGGATGATGGCAGACATCTCTTTCTCTTGCACCGTGTAGCGCCTCTCCGTGTCATTGATCTTGCGGCTCTCGTACGCAATAGGGTGTCTTTCTTGCATTAACACGCCCCCTATTGCAAAGTCTGAGGCATCGGTGTATACCTCAAATGGCTTGGAGTAGTCGGGCAAGGACATAACAGGCTCTTGCGCGACCATCTGCTTCAGCTTGTCGAAGGCATCCTGGCAATCTTGTGACCAATGCCAAGATTTGTTCTTCTTGAATAAATCTGTCAATGGAGCAGTGATTTTTGAATACCCCTTTATGAACCATCGATAGTAGTTCACCAGACCAAGAAATGATCTTAACTCTGGGACCTTGGTAGGAGGCTGCCATTCTTGGATGGCTCGAATCTTAGTTGGGTCCATCATGAGCTTCTCATCCTTGATCTTGTGCCCCAAGAAGTCCACCTCTTGTTTGGCAGAAGAACAATTTTCTAGCTTAATGTAAAGTTCATGATCAGAGAGTACCTGGAAGACTTTCTTCAAGTGTTGAGCATGCTCTTTAAGAGTGTTGCTATATACCACGATGTCATCCAAGTATACCACCACGAACTGGTCCAAGTAAGGGTGGAACAACTTGTTCATGAGCGTGCAGAATGTAGCTGGGGCATTTGTTAGTCTAAAGGGCATGACAAGGAATTCGAATGCTCCATATCTCGTCACGCAAGTTGTCTTCGGCTCATCACCTGCGGCGATGCGTACTTGATAGTACCCGGATCGAAGATCAAGCTTAGAGAAGCACTTGGCTTTTCCAAGCTGATCGAACAAGTCAGCAATCAAAGGTATCGGGTACTTATTCTTGATAGTAATCTTGTTCAAGGCCTTGTAGTCGATGCACATTCGTAACGATCCATCCTTCTTCTTCTGGAAGAGGACTGGAGCACCGTATGGGGCCTTAGATGGTTGGATGTATCCAGAATCAAGGAGATCTTGCAGTTGTCTCCTTAACTCAGTAAGTTCTGGAGGTGACATGCGGTAAGGTGCCAAGGCAGGTGGTTTGGCATCAGGCTCCAACTCGATCTGATGGTCTACCTCTCATTTAGGGGGTAGTTTCTTAGGCAACTCGTCAGGCATGACGTGCTTGTGCTCCCGTAGCACCTCTTGGATACAAGGTGGCAAGATTTTCCGTGGCTTCGTTGGGCCATCCTCTTCCTCGACCAATGAACGTACAGTGGCAATATACCCTTCTGAGTTCTTGAGACCCCTCTTGAATTGCAAGGCAGAAATCATAGGGCCAGATTTCTCCAAGCGTTTCAAGAGGATTACCCGGATCATGTTGGAGTCAATGACCACCATAGACTTGGCTTCGGGAATAGGGAAGGCATGTGTTTTGCAAAAGAAAGCAAGTCCCAACACAACTTTGAAATCATCCATAGGGACAACAGTAAAGGCCAGCGTACCTTGCCAGTCCCCGATCTTCACCTTCACATCCTTGGCAATCCCAAGGACTTGTTTGGCTGGGGAGTTCACTGCCTTGATGGTACCTTCTCCCTTATTGAGCTGGATACCCAATCTCTTGGCTTCTTCAGCTTCTATGAAGTTGTGGGATGCTCCTGTGTCGAGCATGGCAGAGGTGGACTTGCCCTGAATAGCAAGATCAGCATAAAGTAGACCCTTCTTTTCCTTCTTAGATGGAGAAAAGAGTCCAGTCAAGGAATTCAAGTGTTGGAGGGAACCAAGGTCGATCTGTTGCTCCTTGTCCCAGCTATCCTTCATCTCAGCAACCAAGGCATTCATAGCCTTGCAGTTGGGGCAGTCACGAGTCCAGTGTGGACCATCGCACATGAAGCATGGCTTCGGTGGCTTTGAGGCATCACGCTTGATTGAGGGTGGTCTATCCTGTCTAGAACTCCCACCAAAGAATCTACCACCATCCTTACGATCGGAATTCTTCTTTTGTCCTCCTTCGTCTCCTCCACTGTTACCAGGATTAGGCTTTTTGGACTTGGTGGAGCAGTCGATTATGCACTCAGCAGCAGCAATTGCCTCATCTAGAGTTTGCACTTTGCGTCTATCGAGTTATACTCTCGCCCAATCTTTAAGTCCGTCTATGAAGTAGAAAAGAGCCTCCTTGTCGGACAGGTCCTCGATCTCGAGTATGATGGTAGTAAACTCTTTAATGTAGTCAGGAATACTACTAGTTTGTCTCAACCTACGAAGCTTACCTCGAGCTTCTGTCTCAGCATTGTGGGGAACAAAGTGCTTGCGGAGTTCTGACTTAAACAGCTCCCATGTGTTGAGAGTGCAGATGCCCTTCTCTCGCTTAGCATGCTTTCTGCGCCACCATAGTTGGGCTGCATCCCGAAGAAAAGTTGAAGCATTGTTGATTCTGATCAAGTCGTTAGAGACTCCTATGGCCTTGAAGTACTGTTCTAGGCCAAAGAGAAAGTTCTCCACAATCGTGGCACTACGTGCCCCATTGTACATGGCCGGCTTGGGCACTTTCAGTCCCTGAGAAGTGGCGTTTGAAGTACTACCACTAATAGGGCTACTCACACAGTGATGAGATTCCCATTCATGACGAATCTCATCCATTTGAGAGCGTAGACCTCGCACCTCATCTCTTGCATATTTGCGGAGATCGGCGAGATCACGTCTGAGGGAACGAATGTCTTCCCCTAAATCATCATTAAGGTCTGCAATCATCAACTTGGCAGCCCGCATTATCTCAGCATTCTCTTGGATGAGATTGTTGAGTTGATCATTGAGTCCCCCTATAGTAGTTCTCACTTCCTCCATGTTAGATTCCAAGCTAACAACACGAGGTTCAAGGGACTCACCTGCGGGTGCCCTGCTCCGGCCTTGCTCTTGCTTGGACTTGGGGTGAGCTTGCTCCTGTTGTGCATGAGCTTGCTCCTGTGCTTCTGTGCCAACGATGTTTCCTTCCTCAGTTGCCATTGTACAATACCTTCCTTCAAGCACAACGGTAGAACCGAGCTCTGATACCAACTGTCACAGGGCTAGTCTTTCGACCCGTGCGGCACTTAGACAACCTTCACTGGAAGTTGCTAAGTAAGCCTAACTCGTATGAAAGGAGGATGCTTGGCTAAGTAGAGGAAAGGGAAAGCTTGAAGGCAAAGAAGAGTAGAGAGAGTTTGGAGAATGTGAGAGTTCTATTGCTTTGAGAACTCAAGGATGATTTACAAATGAGGAGGTGTGAGGTATTTATAGGCCTCCCCTTGGATCTAGAATGTTCCCACCTCCTTAATAGACGGTGGAGATTAAATCTATCCTACGGTTACAATTGATTCTCTAGAATTCTCTTAACAAATATCTAGATATTTAAATGGAAGAATCTAGAGACAATATTAAAATATTGAGGCTAGAATTGTGTAAGCTTCTCTAGAATGTTCTTGCACTCTCTAGCACTCTTAAGGTTAGCTGGGAGCTTTCTGGAGGGTTCTGGAACATTCTGGACCTTGTGAAAAATGACGAAACGTGACAATAAACTCTGTTTGGTGGGTAATAAGAAATTAGGAAAATAATCCCGTATTACATCATGTGATCCATACCTATAAAGCTGCATCATCCAGTTTGAATTGGAAAAGGCAAGACTATCCATGATTCTGCTCTTTCTTCTATTGAGTAATAAATCTGTATAAGGTATTAAGAAATGGCCTATACCAGGCGTTGAGGATTCTGAATGATTCTTTAAAACTCTTTGCTTTTCTATTTTTCCTATGAAATTTCTGTTTACAGTCAAAGCAAGAATATGAAAACTTTGGTGTTCTGAAACTTCATTAGAAGAACTGTCCAGTTTGATTTCTTGCTGAATTTGTTATATGAATTGTTTAAATTGAGGTTGCTATGGTTACATGCATTTCCCTTTTTATTTGCAGATTAGTCAATACCTTAGCTTGTATGCTCGCACTGGAGTTCTTCCTAGCAAAATTTTCCAAGGAAAAGCTGCAGAGGTTTGTCAGCTTCTTTGGCTACTATTTATTGATCACATTTCCTAAACAATCACTATTCCCTTCATTGAAGAATTTAACTTCAGTTCTGAAAGGAAACGTGACTTATTGATCATGTACTAGTTGGAATTTTGGATTTTCTAGTCCTCAACATTGTTGTGTGATGGTTTTTATCTGTTCAACCCTACCAAAAAAAAAAAAATGCAGTCTATCTTGTTCCCCTTCTATTTTATATATTTGGTAGTGACATCAAATGAATCAATGACAAACATAATATGAATCAAGGATATTTGTTTTCTTGTGTCTTGTGGCAATATTTGTGTTCTGTTTCTTTGTCTTTTTCTCATAACTAATGCCGGTCCTGCTTGTGCCAGGGCAGAAGTGGGGTCAAGTTGGTAACTTGAGATATGATTGCTGTTTTATATGTGTGGATGCATCTCTTCCTGTACTGGACAGATATGTAGAACAGAGGGTAGATTGCATGATGGATGCTGGATTACTTAATGAAGTCTATGACATTTACAATCCAAATGCTGATTATAGTCGTGGCTTGCGGCAAGCCATTGGTGTCCGTGAATTTGAGCCTCTTCTGGGAACCCGTGTATTTGAAGAAATCTACAAAAGAGAGAAAGAATCGACCGAGGATTCCAGGAGAGAAAAGTGTGATAAATTGTCTGATGATGATCTGATGGGGCTCTTGAAGTTGTCTTCTGACACAAAAGCCATTACACTTATGGAAGAAGCAATTGAAAAAGTAAAGGTTAACACGCAGAGACTAGTTCGCCGTCAGGTTAGAATAATCTCTCTCTCTCTCTCTCTCTCTCGCTCTCTCTCGCGCTCTCGACTTCTTTAAACTTGATTCTTGTTAAGAACTTTTGGGGGAATTTCAGTTTAGGACCACTGTAGCAAGTTTATTTCAAATCAGTCCCAAAAAATTCTGATATTACACTAAAAGACCCAGGACTAAATTGAAATTCTATTTTTACAATGAAATGACTAAAATGCCCTTCAATTATTTTTTCAAAAATATTCATCCACCATCACTAGAACGCCACCGACAGATTGCTGCAAGAGCTTAGGCCACCGCCACTGACTGCCAGAGTTTCAGCAACAGCCACTAAAAATAAATACCCAAAGGTGGCCAATGAGGGCTTTGAACCCAACACCTCTTAATACACCAAAAGAATATTAACCACTAAACTAATGAAGGCTCTTAATTATATAATTCCATAACAAATATATGACATAATCAATTTTCCAAGGCAGTGCTTAGTAAGCTTGTTCATAATATTACATGTTATTTCACTAACAGTACTTGTTAATTTACTAATAAAACTTGTTGGCAATGCCTTTTACATATTTAACTTTTGTGACTTGTTAATTTACTAATGTTTCACATTAATTAACTGGCAAAACTTGATGAGAATTCCTTTTACATATTTAATCCCAATGACTTGTTAAAAATCTAACATAACTTGTTAAGTTTCTAATACTACTTGTTAACTTACTAGTGAAACTTGTCGACAGTACCTTCTAAACTTTCAAACTAGGTAACTTGTTAAATCTCTAACTTGATTTGTTAATTTACTAATATTACTTGTTAACTCAATAGCAAAACTTATTAGCAATACTTCTTAAATATTTAATCCTAATAACTTGTTAAAATCCCAATTTAACTTGTTAATTTATTAGCATTATTTGTTAATTCACTATCAAAACTTGTTGACAAACTTTTTATGTATTCAATCTTGGTGACTTGTTAAAATTTTGACTTAATAAATAACATTAGTTAAGTAACAAATTAAGTTATGGTTTTGACAAGTCACTATGATTAAATATAGATAAGGTATTATCAATAAATTTTGCTTGAGAATTAACAAGTAGTATTAGTAAATTAATAAGTTAAGTTAGGGTTTTTAACAAGCCATCGAGATTGAATATGTATAAAGTATTGTGAACAAGTTTTTGCTATTAAATTAATAAGTAGTATTAATAGTTAAAAAAAAATTAATAAGTTAAGTTATAGGTTTAACAAGTTATCAAGATTTAATATGTAGAAGGCATTGTCAATAAGTTTTGCTTGTGAATTAACAAGTAGTGTCAATAAATTAACAAGTTAACTTAGGGTTTTAACAAGTCATCAGGATGAAATATGTAGAAAGTATTGTCGACAAGTTTAGCTAGTAAGTTAATAAAAAGTATTAATAAATTAACAAGTTAAATTAGAAATTTAACAAGTTATAATAATTAAATATGTAGAATATATTATCAACAAGTTTTGTTAGTAAATTAACAAGTACTGTTGGTGAAATAACAGGTAATATTATAAACAAGTTTACTGAGCATTGATTTGGAAGGGTGATTATATTTTATATTTGTCTTGGCACTATATAATGAAGGGGCATCATTAGCTTAGTGGTTAATAGCACCAAAAGGTCTTGGGTTCAAACTTCTTCTTGACCACCTTTAGGTTTTTATTTTTGGTGGCTGGTGCCAGAGCTTCGACGGTAGCCCGGCCACTGAAGCTGAGCCTCGGCGGCGGCGGTTTGGCGGCTGGCTGCGGGTTTCAAAGGTGCATTTTTCTCAAAAAAAAAAAATATTTAAATAGCATTACGGTAATTTCCTTTGAAATTTACTTTCAATTTAGTACCTTGATCCTTAAGTGAATTTTCAGAATTCATTGGATCTAATTGATATCGCATCCCTGATCCTAAATTGAAATTCTCCCAAAACTGTTCTCATGGCCAGATTTGTGAGTAACTGAGAATTTGGCCATGTTGTCAATTTGTCATTAACATTGCATAGTGAAGACCAATTAAATGAGAGATCTTCAACTCGTATTTGTTTAGCAGTTTGTGGGGTTGCTATGAGTTTTCCTGGAACCATCTGTACTAATTTTGTTTCTTGACTCTTATATAACAATATTGTTATCAAAGACCACACGAAATTGAAGAGAACTTGGCCGTTGCCCTTTCATTGACTTGATTGAAACAAGCACACAAGTAACGTCAGAGATTGATGTGAAAACTTTGTTCATACAGAAGAGGATGCTTAATCGACTGCAAAAATTGTTTGATTGGACTATTCACTACGTGGATTCCACAGAATCATTATCAAGTAAGCCATCTCGGTCCCTTTATATTTCAGTGTTCGTTGTCAACAAATAATGTTTGAGACAATTATTTGGGTTATATTTTGATTCCAAGTTCCATGTTTCAGGTAAATCAGATGATATATGGACTGGCCAAGTGGTAGAACCTGCGGTGAAGATCGTTAGATCTTTCCTTGGCCAGAATCAGAACTTGTCATCCACGTCAGGGACGTCGAATAGCAGTGGGAGGAAGATGGTTGAAAGGGACCTCTGGACTCAATACATATGCAAGGTCTGCTAGGTTTTAGAATCCACCTGTCTGCTATGAAGACAAGGCAATTGTTTTGATTTTGATTCTGATGCTTTTCTTGTCTGGTTTTCCTGGTGGCCTTCCTATGGCAGGCCTGTGGGGATAGGGTGCTTAGAGGGATTCATGATTGGGAACAACACAAACAGGGACGTGGACACCGGAAACGTATTTCTAGCCTCAAGAACAAATCACGAGGCCTCTGTTCGCCGGAACAATAGCGGCAATATTCTATAGTTCGCATCGTTTCGTTTCGGTGTGTGTTATTTGTTGCTGATACCTTTTCACTTTTCGTCCGCATCTAAGTGGAACCTTCGCTTCATTTCTAATTTCTTGCACTTGGAGGCTTGGAGCTCCTAGTTATTAAGGGTATGTTTGTTGTCTGTTTTTATTTTTTATTTTTAAAAAACCGTTTTGCAATGAAGTTTTTTAAATTGTTTTTCAAAAAATCTGTTTGGCTATGTTAATTTGAGAACAGTTTTAAAATTAAAAAATTTAGCTGATAGTAGTAATAATAATAATAATAATAATAATAATAATGGCTTATGATAATCATTGATTAAGGTAATTGTAGTTTTTAATTATTAAATGTAATGTATTTTGAAAATAAAAAATAAAATGAAAATAATTTTAACTTGTTTTTATTCTTGTGCTTTTAAAAACTGAAGTTGAAAACAGCTTTGAAAACATTTAGATTCAAAACACTTATTTAAATTGGTTTTTTATTTTTTTAAAAGACTCTTTAAAAACAGAAATTAACAGGCCAAACTTTTTTTATCTTGGGTGTACCGATCCTAGCGTGTGTTTGGATTGAGGAGAAACGTGCGTTTTCAATCTCAGAATTGATTTTTTGAACAAAATATTCAAACAGCAGAAAAACGCAGAAATCGATTAAAAACACAAAACGCGCGTTTTCGAGTTTTCTCATAAGCTCTTCCCACCAGCTTTTCGCAAAAAATTTGTCAAAAATGTTAAAAAAAATTATAAAGAAAGGCCCAAAAAAAATTACAAAAAAAAAACACATAATTTAATAAAAATAAAATTAAACTCTCTTCTTTTTTCTTTTTTTTTTTCTTAATAAAATTTAAACTTTGTATATTCAAAAAATTAATATTTAATATTTAAAAATTAAATTATATAGTAATTTATATAATTAAAAATTAATTTTAATTAAATTATTCAAACAATTTTAATTCTGTTAAAATTAATTTTAAAAAAATAGTATCCAAACAAATTGTGTTATAACATAATCAATTATGATTAAAATTTACTACTTAATCAATTATTTTCATAATTTATTATACCCAACTGAAATCCAAACGGACTCCTAGTTATTAACTTTGTTCATATTCCTTTGTTGCCTGCGCAAAAAATATTCGGTATAGCTAGTTAATTACAGTATCGCATTATTTATACTCAATTACTAACTAAAAATATTTTAAATAAAATAAAATAATTATCTTCCATCTCTTATTTACACCTTTTCTTTCCATTCCCGCTTAAGAATTTTTTTCCCCTTATTCTCTTTTAATACCTGAAATGTGTTTATCGGAAAATGTATGCTCCAATGCGGAGACGCTCTGTACGCGATAACTTTTTTTTATCGTTATGCCACAAGGGGTATTTCTTCCCTGTTTATAATTTCTTATACTTGAATTGTTTTTTGTATGAGCATCCTACAACTAATACAGGTTTAAATGTAGAAAATAGATAACTAATTTATATAGATCAAACAAAGTACTTAGTTATTTATTAAAAATGTGTGTTGGTTAAAATATTTTTTAATTATTTTCATTAAAAAATATTCCTACTAATGTGTGCAAACAATTGTAATGGTTTGGAAAAAACAATAAAAATGAAAAAGAAAAGAAAAAAGATTGAGATTTCACATTTAAAATTTAAAAAAAAAATGTGAAGTGGCCCTTACATATCTATCCTCTTACCAATCGCTTCAGCCCTCCTCCTATCTTTTTAACTATTAAATCTCCATTTCAAGAATTAAATTTATTATATTATAAAGTTATTACACATAAGTGAATTTAAATTATTAAAATTTAATCTGAAATTGACATCAAATGATGGAGAAGATAAGGTCGGAAAAGATATTAGTAAGGGGAGGAAGCTAATTGTAGAGATGGATATGAAATTTAAAAATATATTTAGTATAATTATAAAAATTTCATTTATCTTTTAACCGATAATTAATAAGTATATTTAAAGTACTCTTTTTGGTCCAATTTAGAGAAAATATTTTTTTTTATCCTATTCATAAGTCACTTCATTAAATTTCATCACAATTTTTTTTGTTTTCCATTTATTGAATGTTCAAAAGAGAAAATATACGTTATTAATATATATGTATATATATTTTTAATAAGGATAGAGTTAAAAAATTATTATATTTTTAGACAGAGTTAATAATTTTTAAAATTTTTTTATTTTAATAAAACACGTTAAAAGTAATTTATAAATAAGACTAAAAGAGTATAAAACTATTAAAATAACCTCTATTAAAAAAGGGGAAAATTTTATTTAAAACCCTTTAACCAAATTTAATTAAAAAAAAGGCCCAAAAACTTTGAAATTTCACTTCAGGCCAGTGGTACTGAAATGAAATTAAAATATTAAAAATTACCTAGTTGATCTTACTGAAAAATAATTTATTAATATAAGTGGTTTGTTTTCTTAGGTTAAGCTATTTATTACTTTACATTAAGTTGTTCATTACTCTAATTAAAAGATAAATCATAGATATATAAGTATAAAAAATATCTAAACAAATAGCTTAAACTATTTTAATAGAATATACTGTCCTTAAATATATTTATCATAAAAAATCTAACTGCAGACGACATATTATTTTTTCTATTAGACTCCTTCATTTCCACAGTCAAAATTTTTTTTTTTTTCCCACGAGACTCCATCTCTACAGACAACATTTCTTTTTCCTACTATCCTCCGTCATCCCCACTTGCAATGGCATTTTTTATTTTTCTTTCCAACGCGACCTCCTGCTCTTTTCACTCCCTTCAGATTCATGCCACAAAAGATCTTTACAATTAAAGTTCTGCAACAAGCCAAGATTTAGGAACCAAGCTAGTGTCATGACTCAAGAGTCACGAGAATTACGTAATAGAATGCTTTACGGGAAAGACCCCCACTATCCAAACTTTTCCCAGACACGAGGAATACCACAAATCATCCTATTTGAAAATTTAGAAATTGTTAAGAAAAAAAATAATAAGTCTTTCAAGGATGACGATGGTCCTGGATTAAGGTAAGACATTGCCCAAATACACCTTCCTTTGCTTTTTAGCTGAAATGATATAACACTTGTAATAAGGATATAATCGCGACGTCGTTTGAGTTTTTTTTTTTACAAAAAAAAATTTATTTGACATGTTTTAAATTCAGTTTGATTCATAATTTATCACAATATACTTTGGTCAAATTACGCAAAACCTCACAGACTTCGATCCAGTTGTAACTAATCCCTTAATTTTTAAACTCGCAATTTTGCACAGATAACCCATTGTCGTTGTTAGTAGCTAATGATTTGCGAAAAACTCCTTTCAAACAATAAGCTGATCGCAGAAAATTATCTTAAAATTTAAGTTATACGCCAACCAATACCTTATTATAGTAGTTTGGGTTAAAATGCAATTTGGTCATTAAATTATAGGTTTAAGAGTATTTACACTTGTGTGTTTTACAATATTTCTTCTCAACTTTTGAAAATAGTGATGTACAAATATAACTGTTATAAAAGTCAACTTTAATCATTAACTTATTAAAAAATTATAAAAAAAATTAAAAAATTACAGAAAAGGATTAAGAAAAATTTGTGAATTCTTTTTTATAATTTTATTTGATTGACACAATTAATAAAGGATATTGTAGTTTAAATTTTTTATTTTTATATATAATTAATATAGTCAATTAATTTTCTTAAATTGTGTGATATAATTTTTTTCTTCTACAAACAAAAACGAAGAAAGTAAGTTGAAATCTTTCATAAATTTTAAAATAAAATACTATAGCATCCTCTCTAATTTACTTTAATT